AGAGAATTTTAGAGGTAAGCGTTTTACTCTTAACTGCCCTCATATCATCTCTCTATACCTAAACATTTTTCTTTAATATGGCTTAAATGTGTCAGTGCAAGATTTTGTGACAGTCACAACTTCTTCGACAGTGGGGAATGCATATCTATAATAACCCTTATAGTTAAAAGATACTTGTGCCTTGTCTTTTAGCTGTTATGCATAATAATGCATTACATTTAGAAAATATTAAATTACTCCTATCATGAAATCAAATTTCGGTCATCCCAACCTGTTGAGAATAGTGAAAGGTTAGTGAATGTTAACATGATTGATAATAATGTGATTGTTGCAAACATCTCTGCAAGGATGTTCACACTGGCATGTATAGTTATTTTTTTTCTTATTATTATTATATAATTTTTTTTAAATAAAGAGGAGGGAATGGTCAAAAAGCAGGGCAGTTTTTAGGTTTTTATTTGTAAAACAACAAATAATAAGTTATGTCATATTATACAATTACTTTTACAGTTTTTTGCCATGGTATCGATTCAGTATCGAGGTATTTTAGTCTGGTATTGTATCAAAGTCATAATTTTGGTATCGTGACAACACTGTTCTATATAAAAAGTATTTGCTGATATTCTCTTTTTTTATGTTGGGTTACAAATGTACAAATTTCAAGGGCTTGTTTACATTTATACTTTTTAATAGTACACTACTGAATGCCAAAGTTGCAAGTTAAATTATATGTTTTTAAGTAAAATTGTTGAAAATTATTGTGATAAATTAGTCGATAGATTAATCGATATAAAAATAGTCGTTAGTGGCAGCCCTACCTGAGACTGAGTTTTAGCAGGTCCTCTAGAATAAGTATCCAACATTTTAAACATATTTATAAGTCTGAAAAACAGGAAAAGCACAATAGGTCCCCTTTAAAGCTAGGCAACAGACTTAAACATAAGTGTTTTGTGTTCAGGTTCTCTGTGCTTGCAAAAGTGAAATAGTGAATATTGAGTATTTGAAATTCAATGTCACTGATATTTTCAGATTATCTTACTTCTGGAAATATTTTAATGTATAGGCTGTACATTCGTGTGTCACTTGTTTACTGCAAGTGTTTTTTTTTACATTTACAGGCCATCCACAAACATAAAAGAAGCCATGGTGCTATCATTGGTGCAGACATTCCCGACCATGAATGATGGATCAGACAGTGGCTATGTGAGTTTAATTATCTTGGTTCATATGGAAACTGTTGCTGATTTAAACCTTTTTTTTTTTTTTTTACAAAGATGTGAATGCACTTAATAAACAATGGTGTCTAATGAGATGAGTGGGTCATACAAGACATAATATATTGTATGTGTACATGGATCATTTCCGTTTATTTTGCTTTTAGCCCTTTTAACCCCCTAATTGTTCCTTATCTGTACCTGATGTGTGTTATCTCTACTGTAAAACTTTGTAAAAGATTAAAAATGTCCTTCTTGGATAAGGAAAGTTCTATCTTTTTTTCCAGGACATATGGTACACAAAAGCCAGGAAGGTAATAAAGGATGGAGGAGTGTTCCACTACCCAGTCACGGGCTTCCTCGAAGAAAGACTACGGAACGTTAGAAAGAGGTCAAACCGTGGGTGCACCCAACAAATGCCTGAAGCCACCCAGTCACGAAGGGCATACATACCAGGTGACACAGACTACCAAAAGTCTTTTATTTACATTATCAATGACAGAAAATGTATGCAATGTAGGAGTGAAAGGATCAGATTTGTATGTTCGTCTCTGTTGTTTGTTTCTTGATTTTGGCAGATAAAGAAAAAGTGAAAATAGCTGACGCCACAACAACAGGCACTTTGCATTTTTTGACAATCCCCCTTATGCATATTGAAAAGGTTTTCAAAGTTGTCATATTGAACTTGTGCCAATACCATGTATCAGTTTAACAGTGAAACTAGTGAAACAGTGAAATGCATGACCCCCACTGTAATGAATTGAAAAACATCGCTGGCTTCCCTGTCTGAACGCGCGCTACAGGAAGAAAACTCATAAACTTATTTGTAATCACTTGTGTTTCTCTGGAGAATCAACCATTCCAGAAGAAAGGGCCTTCCAACAGAAGGAATGGCTGAAACACAATTCAGAGCCTTTCACCCAAGTGCAGTCCTACATGAAGGACACAGTGTTATGCAGAGCCAACTGGATCCGGGATAATAGCTCCAAGGACATACTGGAACTCTTCACAGAGTACCCTCATCTCACCAGTCCAGGCATGGTATGGTTCCACTGGAACATATAGTAGCAATATCTTATTTACATTTTGTATCAAAGGAGCGGATATCACATTTTTTCCTTTGTTTCCTGTGTTTTTTTTAGATAGCACAGGACTTCCAGGTGCTGCATGGTGAGGCTGCACCTAAATTATTTGAGACCTGGATCCCTGAATATGCTGAAAAGGTCCTGTACTTGGCGAAGCAGGACAACAAACTCCCTTCACTTTCTGTTGAGGACATGACACTGGGTAAATTAAAACTGACCTTTTGTGTGTTCTATGGCAAGGGTCCTGTGATTCCTTTCCTTTTGGTCTGTATGTTGAGACTCAAATATCTGTTCATTTACATATTTCTATAGTCGTTTTATTTTTTCACACACATACTGATACCTAGAATATTGTTAACCTACAGATGCCAAAGGGGAACTAGCGCTAACACTGCTACCCACCATGGTGCCACAGGCCTTCTACAGGGTTTGGAAGAAGACTATCCGGCACTCCATTGAAGAGTCCCGGACAGCGTTCATACACCAAATGCCTGTAAGTACAATGGACCATTTTCTCAGCACCACTCTGAGAGAGAATATTCTTAATTCTAACTATACTATACAGGTGAAAGAAGGCAATCCAAGTGACATGTTTCATGTGAAAGCTAAAGGGTGAATCCTGATTTTTTTAAAAAAAAAAAAAAACAACTCCAAGGTTCTTCGCAGTTGTATTTCAGTTTTCAGTGATGCCATCTATGGTAGCTAGAAAGTGAAGTTGAAGATGTTAAGTTTTATTACTCTGAGTGGTTCTCAATCCACATTTTCTTTTACACATTCATGACCCACTCAAAATGAACACACCAATTAAGAACCACAGTTCATTTGGCTTCCTTGTACAGTTAGTATCAGCATTATAACACAAACTGGTAGTCTATTATCTTGTTTACAATTCACCTTCTACACAATATTCACATTCTTTTGTGTATCTT